CTGCCTGCTCAGCATGTGATGACGAGCATGTCCCTGTCCCGCACCGCTGCACTGGTCCCGGGGCCCTGCACCACAGCCAGCCCGTCTGCCAAACGAACGGACTCTGAACCTGTCATGCTTCTGTCAACCCACTGGGTGTGCATGGGTCTCCCTGAGATAGGAGCTTCTTAAGAGACACTTCTATTTTCTCTTTGCCTCCTCTGGGCCTAGGAGTGTGCTGAACTCCTAGGTGCTCAGGAAATGTCTGCTGCACTAAACTGCATTAAAGTGTTTAGCAAAAGAATTTCTATTCCTATTCTCTTCATGGTCCCACCTGCTTTCAATGTAATGTCTCATTGTGCTCAAATTTGTAGGCCAAATTTGCCAAGGTGTCTGTATCTGAGTGGGCTGAATGTTTGTGCTCCCCTCAATTTGTACGTTTAAGCCCTAACCCTCCTTGTGATGGTATTTGGAGGTAGAGCCTTTGGGACACGATTAGGTTTAGATGAGATCATAGGGTGGTGCCCTCAGAATGGAATTAGTACCCTCCTAAGAAGGGACACCCGAGAGATGCTCTCTCTCTGTCATGTGAGCAGAATGAGATACATTAGTGAGCCTGGAAAATAAACCTGGCAGGAAACCAAATTAGCCAGGACCTTGGTCTAGGACTTTCAGCCTCCAGAACTGTAAGAAATAAATTTCTGTTGTTTCAGACACACACAGTCTGTGGTATTTTGTTAGGGCAGCCTAAATGGATTAAGACTGTCCTCAGCTCCTGCCCACAATAGCCTAAATCTGTGGAGCAAAGCACCAAACACTAAAGAAGCTGACCTCTGCACATACTCTGAGGAAACAGGCTGACTTTCCTAGATGAAGTCTCTAGGTCAGTGGAGTACAGAGAGGGAGAGCTGATTGAGATAAAGAGGTTAAACTTCAAATCCATACTGTGAATTTAGAAAACATTGTCAGAGATTAAAATGGCAGTGGAGTAAGGGGATGCTGCATGAACAGGCTCCCAGGTCCAAACTGGAATTATAACTAAAATACAGAAAAACTTCCTGAATAATCAACAGAAAACTTACTGGAGGGAACCCTGATAACCAATGACTGAAAGTGGAGACCCATAGAGACTGGTAGGAGGGACGGGGAGGCATGAAAGGGCTGGCTGGGCCCCCACAAGCAGCAGGTGAAATTCTGAAGGGATATCTCAGCTATGGGAGGTGGCCACTGAGACATCTGGGGTCTAATTCCCCAGCTGGGCCTCTCAACAGAGAACATCAAAATGGAGAAGATACCCACATAATATCTGGCTGTGAAAAGCAGCGGGGTTGCTGTCTGCCAGGGAGAGATGGTTAGAAATTCAGGCACTCTCTTAAAGGGCCAATGCATAAAATTCTCTGTGGAGCCACCCATCTTTTGCTCCAAAAGAGGAACAGAAGAGTGGACAGGAGCTGGGTGAGCAGAAGCCAGGACCAAGGGCTCTGGGTTAAGAGCTCAGAAGGCAAACACCCTGGTTTCCTGTGCTGAGCCATTCCTTCATGCTGCAGATGTCATCTTTCTCATGCAGACAATTGCTATACAGGCAGCATCGCCTTGGGGGAAGTCAGCTGACCCACCCCATTGGTAAACTACTTGCCCTTTATGAGACTAAGGATAATAATTAGCCTCCAGGCAGAAACAATTACTCCACCCTGTTGAAGAAAACTCTTACCACACCTGTGGATGATTGCCTGAGGGCAGATCAAGAGTATTCCTATCAGTCTGTAGCCACGTGTGGTTTCTGGAGGCTTTAAGTCTTTGCCTGATCTACTTAGACAAAACTTTTGACACATCTTGCACTAGAGATTGAGAGGTGTAGCAGATTACCTAACACAGAGTCACAAACCCAATCAGGCCATATACAGTGAATATCGTACTCAATGGGAGCAAAAACTAAAACCATTTCCACTAAGAACAGGAACAAGACAGGGATGTCTACTTTCACCACTCTTATTCAACATAGTACTGGAAGCCCTAGCCACAATGATCAGACAAGGAGAAGAAATAAAAGTATTCAAATTGACAAAGAAGAAGTAAAACTCTCATTATTCACAGATGACATGATATTGTACATAGAAAACCCTAAAGACCCCACCAAAATATTACTAGAGTTAATAAATAAATTTGGCAATGTGGGAGGACATAAAATCAACACCCAAAAATCAATGGCTTTTTATATGCCAATAATGAATTCTCAGAAAAAGAAACTGAACAATCCCATTTATCATTGTAACAACAACAAAATGATACTTAGAAATAAACTTAACCAAGGTTCTGTTCTTGGAAAACTACGGGATGTTGAAAAAAGAGACAGAAGATATCAACAAGTGGAAAAATATGCAGTATTCATGGATTGGTAGAATCAACATCATTAAAATGTCCATACTATCCAAAGCAGTCTACAAATTCAATGCAATCCCTATTAAAATATCAACAGCATACTTCACAGAGTTAGAACAAATACTCCAAAAATTTATATGGAATAAAAACAACCTCAAAGAGCTACAGCACTCTTAAGAAAAACAAAGTTGTTGGAATCACAATACCAGAATTCAAGTTATACTATACAGCCACTGTAATCAAAACAGCCTGGTACTAGGCACAAAACAGACATATAGGCCAATGGAACAGAACAGAGACCCCAGAAATTAACCCAATCCATTACACTCAATTGCTATTTGACAAAGAAGGCAAGATCATACAATGGAGTCAAGACATTTATCTTCAATAAATGGTGTTGGGAAAATTGGACAGATACATGCAAAAAAAAAAAAAAATGAAATTAGACCACCAACTTACACCATACACATGAGTAAACTCAAAATTGACAAAAGACTTAAATGTAAGTTGTGAAACAATAAAAATCCTAGAAGAAACCTTAGGCAGCAAATTCTCAGACATCTCTCATAGCAATATATTTACAGATACATCTCCTAGGGCAAAGGAAATTAAAGAGAAAATAAATATACTACATCATAATAAATAGCTTCTGCACAGCAAAAGAAACCATCAACAAACTGAAAAGGGAGCCCACTGTATGAAAGAACATATTTGGCAATGATATTTTATATAAAGTGTTAATATCCAAAATATATAAGAAACGTATACAACTTAATAAAAGGAAGACAATCCAATTAAAAAATGGGCAAAGGACCTAAATAGACACTTATCCAAAAAAGATATACAGATTGGAGAGACATGAAAAAAACGCTCAATGTCACTGATCATCCGAGAGATGCAAATTAAAATGACAATGAGGTATCACCTCACACCTGTCAGAATGGCTACCATTAACAAATCAACAAAGGACAAGTGCTGGTGAGGATATGAAGAAAAGAGAACCTCAGAACACTGCTGGTGGGAATGCAAACTTCTATAACCATTATGGAAAGCAATATGGCCTTTCCTAAAAAAATTAATGTGGACTGCCATTTGATCCAGTGATCTCACTTCTAGGAATATATCCTAAGAATCCCAGAACACCAATCAGAAAGGATGGATGCAAGCCTATGCTTATATCAGCATAATTTATAATAGCTAAGATCTGGAAACAGCCCAGATGCCCACCAGTAGATGAGTGGATAAAAAAGCTGTAGTACATATGCACCAAGAAATACTATGCAGCAGTGAAAAAAAAGAATCTCTCACCCTTTGAGACAGCATGGAGGGACCTGGAGAGTATCATACTAAGTGAAAGAAGTCAGTCAGAGAAAGATAAGTATCACATGATCACACTCATATCTGCAATTTAAGTAACAAAATAAACAGATGAACAGAGCGGATCCAGAGACATGGAGACATGGAACAGAGTGTGAAACCTCAAAGGGAAGGTGGGGGAGGTGGGTGGGTGGGTGGGAGGTAATCAACCAAAGACCTTGTATGCATATATATATAACCCATGGACTTGAACAATAGGGAGCTGAAGACCTGGGGTAAGGGAGAGGAGGGCTGGAAAGAGTCAATGGGGGGAAAAGGGAACATATATAATACTTTCAACAATAAAGATTTATTTTAAAAAAATTAAAAAGCATTGTCTACATAATGCAGTCTTCATTGCATTCTGACCATCATATATTACTGTTCTTTTGTTTTTCCTACATTATTTTCTTTCCTGGTTCTTTAATTTCTTTAACCTCTCCTGGGGTGGACACAGAGCTGACTGACCAAGAACAGGATAAGAGTAACAGAGATAAATGGGGGGCCGTGGTGAGGGTCTGTGTAGAGAACAGCATTCACTGCCAGGCAGGCCAGGGAAGCGCATGAGAGCGGAGCACAGAGATGTCTGGGAAGGAGAGGGGCTTCCAGAGGTGAGGTGCCCAGGAGGACAGAAAGGCAGGTAGTCGTGGAAGCTCTGGGCACCTCACACTGTCTGGGCCTGGGAGGCTTCTCCTGCCCTCTCACCCACTGCCCAATGCTTCCTGCTGCCCCCACCACTCCCAGGTCTTGGGAAGGAGGGGCTGATGGAGGAGCTGGGAGCTTAACAGTATTTCTCTGCTACTTAGTTTGCTCTTGGGAGCTAAGAGATGCAGCCTAACATTCATGCATCTAGATGTTGATCAAAGTAGTTACAGAAGTTCAACTAGATTCACCCTGACAACGAAGATACAGGTTTTAAAACATCTTTCAAAGAAGTTTTAATAATATCAGGGGAAAGATCCCACACAGTATTAAGAAAACAATTTTGTGTACAGTTTGATACCATTTATATAGAATCATACACGGAGACTGAAAAGAACCATTTTAAACAAATACTAGGATTATTCTGTGCTGTATAATTATGGGTAATGCTTCTTTTGTCTTTTTTTCACTAACATATTTTATGTTTTCTAAATATCTTCAACTAAAACCCTGAACTATAGAGAGGCAAAAACAATGGCAAGACAAATATGATGCATCCACTCTGATTTTGGGGGACTTTACACCACACCCCACTCGGGGGTGCACATGACACCATCCCCACACCCTCCAGAAGCCGCACTTGCCTCGCCTCTCTATCTGCAGGTAGCCGGTGGAGAGGTACTGCTCCATGTCCTGCTGGAAGGCTTCCTCAAAGAACTTCTGCCGCTCCCTCAGCTTCATTTGCTGCGTGTGTTCCATTTCCAGGACCTTCTGACTGTGCTCGGCGTCCAGTTCCGCTAAGGAAACAATAATCCGGGTCAGGTTTGAACAGAAACTGAGATAGGAAGTGGGTATAAATACCTCCTCGCATCTACCCTCTAAGCTGATCGTGTCAAACCCTGGAGAGTGCCCTGACTGCAACACAGCCCTCCTCCCTCCCAACCGGCTGCTCTGTTCCTGCCACCTCTGCTCATGCTGTTCCTCTGCCTGGAATGACCTTCCCACCCTCACCTCCCACTCTTCCCAGAAGAGATGTTCGTCTTTCAAGACTGACTTCTCAGTTAATCCCTCAACTCAGGTAGCATTTTTGCTCCATCCTGAGGTTGCTGTAACACTGTGAGCAAACTTCTGTAGATGACATGCACCACAGTTCAGCCGGTAAAGACTTGGCCTTCGTGGAGAACTGTGACCATGTTGTTCATTTTAATAACTTATCACCTCGCTCAGAGCCGGGCACATAGGAAGGACTCAATGTTTCTTAAAGAGCAACAATAAAGCCATTGTGGTTAGTAGAAAAGGCTTTGCTGTTTTTAACTGTGCAATCTGGCTAGTCAGCTAATCTTTCTGAACCTTACAGTACTCATCCGAAAATTTAGGACAGAAATATTATGAATCCAATATGAATGTGGAACTTAAGTCAAATAATGTGAAAGAATTGTGTAATTAAAATGAGCAGTGAGGCAGGGCTGAGGAAGAAAACAGATCTCAGCCTGGCTGGCATCCGTTTCAGCCTGGGAGACCCAGAGCAGAGGACCTGGTTGTAACACCAGACCCTGACTTCTGACCTACTGACTATGAGCTAGTTTTGCTCTTTCAAGCTGTGGCTGTAGTGATTCATTCTGTAGCAGAATATGGTATTCCAAATGAGCTGTCTACATGAATTCCAGCCCTGCCCAAATCTGACTAGCTGGAGAATGGAAGAAAGAACAACTTGAGTTCTTTACCTTAAACAAATATTGTGCAACACCTACCCTGGGGCAGACACCGTGATTAGATGAGTTTGGCAGGGAACAAAATTTCAGCTACCTTACTGCCCTGGGATGAACATAGGGCCCAAAACACGGTAAAATAATTTCACCCGAGACACTCTCCCCTCAGGTTCATCTCTGGGGAGTGTCAACAACTTTGGGATATTAGAATTCATACAACTAAAAAAAAAAACCAAAAAAGCCAACAAGACAAAATCTAATTAAAATGCATAGAGGACCTGAATAGACTTTTTCCAAATAATACATACAAATGGCCAACAGGTACAAGATAAGATGCTCAACATCACTGATCATCAGGGACATGCAAATCAAAACTATAATGAGCTACCACCTCACACCTGTTAGAATGGTTATCAAAAAAAGCAAGAAATAAGTTGGTAAGGATGTGGAGAAAAGGGAACGTTTGTACATTCTTGGTGGTACTGTAAATTGGTGCAGCCATTATGGAAAACAATATGAAGGTTCCTCAAAAAATTAAAAATAGATCTACTATATGATCCAGCCACCCCACTTCTGGGTATTGAGCCAAAGGAAATAAAAAGGGGATATTTAAAAGATATCTGTAGCCTCATGTTGACTGAATTATTCACAGTAGGCAAGACACAGAGACAGCCTGAGTGTCACTGGATGAATGGATAATGAAGATGTGATATGAAAAATGCACTATTCAGTCAGCATGAAGGAAATCCCACCATCAGAGGCAACATGGATGGGTCTTGAAGGCACTTTACTGAGATAAGTCAGATAAAGACAAATATTGTATGATATCACTTATATGTAGAATCTGAAAAATCTACTCTCAGAAACAGAGTAGACTGGTGGTTACCAGGAACTTGGAGGTATGGAATGGGGGAGAAGTTGGTCAAAAGGTACAGATTTGCAGTTAGAAGATGAGGAAGTCCTAGAGACCTCATGTACAACACTGTGGTGATGGCCAACAATATTGTGTTATAAAAGACGAGAGGCCCGGTGCAGGAAATACATGCATTCGGGAGGGTCCTCGGCTCAGCCTGCACCCTCTCCCAGTCCAGGAGCCCTCGGGGATGTCTAAATGACAGTGGGGAGCAGGCCTAAGCCAGCAGTCAGATATCTTCAGCGCTGCCACGGAGGCAGAAGAGGCTCCCACAGCCGATGCTCTTGCCAACCTGGAGCCTGGCTTCTGGTTGGAACAGTGCTCCCTGACCACTAGGGGGCAGCTCTGCATTGAACGTCTGCTGTTGGTGGTCAGTGTGCATCATAGTGACCAGTTGTTCGGCCATTCAGTCAATTTGCATATTAGCCTTTTATTATTTAGTGTTTCCCAAACTTTTGACATATGTGTACCCCTTCTATAATTTCCGTAACACTGAGTACCTCTCATACTCATGAGAACGTAGAATTAGGCGCAGCTAAGTATGGTGCAGTGCATATCCCCACCAAACTCCAGTGCAACACGTACCCCCACCAAACTTTTCCGTACCCCTGGGGGTACGCGTACCACACTTTGGGAAACACTGATTTAGGATAATTATGTGAAGAGATGGAGGTGTTGTTAACTCTACAGTGGTATTTATATTGCAATATATAAATAAAACAAATCAACATGCTGTACACCTTAAACTTATACAATGTTACTTATTGATTATATCTCAATGAACTCTAGGATGCTATCAAGAAATTTTTTTAAACAACAAAAAACACACCATAGCAATATATACAATGATCTACCAGCTCCATATGGCTGCCTTAGTCATTGCCCAACACCCACAAACACTCAACATCACACTTCACAACTCTGAGTTTTATAAAATCCTATAGGCATGATGTATCTTAAAAACTCAATAATGGAATATATTTTTTTCCAAACTGGTTACAGTATCCAATACTTAGAATATTCTGGGCTTTCTTCCATTGTAAACTGCATATATGCAAGAAATACAAATTTATCATTAACCAAAGCAACACAAACAGGAAAGTAAATCTTCCCAAGGACATATGATCCTATAAAAGACTAATATGCAAATAGACCAAACGGTGGAACAACCGGAACAACTGAACACCGGTTGCTATGATATGTGCTGACCACCAGGGAACATGTGCAAAACATGGTGGGTGTCGGGCACGGCGAGATGGTGGAGCAGGTGAGTGAGGTGCCAGACCTAGGTGGGGCGCTGGTTGCTGTCACTGGGGTGAGCCTCTGGTGGTTACTGAAAGCTCTTTGCTCACACAAATTGTGGTTCTGCCTGGCACTTGCACCTACTGGCACTACCACTCACACCCACTGCCAGCACTGGCCCTGCTCGCACCTGCAGCCTGGTCCCAATCACTCGATGCCATCAGTGGGTGCAAGAGGAGGCTGCTGGCCCTGATCGCCCCCAAGGGCTTCTCCACCTCCCCCTGCTCCTGAGGGGCAATCAGGGGCAGCAGCTGCCGTTCACACTTGCTGATAGTGCCAGCCCCACTTGCACCTACTGCTGGTGCCAGCCCCAATTGCTATGCGCCACCAGTGGGTGCGAGCAGGGCTGCCGGCAGACTGGAGACTGGGGGCTATGGAGGGAGGGGCCAGTCAGGAGGTGGAGGGTAGGCCAAGAACCACCCCTGTGCCCACCGTAGCCTCGTGGCCCACAGTTCCTTTGAAGGTGCACGAATTTGTGTACTGGGCTCCTAGTTCTATGTATAATATTGATGATATGCATTCTGTATTTGCACATCATCCTAACTTACACATGTACCTCACATCTTTAATATATATATATTTTATTTTTTTTATTATTTATTTTTTTACAGTGCGGAAGGGAGAGGGAGAGCTAGAAACATCGATGAGAGAAACATCGACCAGCTTCCTCCTGCACACCCCCTCCCCCCCCACCACTGGGGATGTGCCCGCAACCCAGATACATGGCCTTGACCGGAATCAAACCTGGGACCTTTCAATCCGCAGGCCGATGCTCTATCCACTGAGCCAAACCGGTTTCGGCAACCTCACATCTTTGTTTACAGGGAGATGTAACCTGAAAAGATCACAGGTTCTGAATCAGTCAGTCGGGCTGGGTCTTATTCCTTTTAGCAGGTGCTTCTGTGCCTCACATCACAGCCCTCCCTCAGTCCACCTCTGATTTCAGCTGCAACTCTGGAAGGCAGCTCTGTGAGATCTCCTTCGTATGCCCATAGGCCCCACCGCAAGGCCATGCCTGTGACTTTCTGGGTGGAGTATTCTCCGTACCCTGGAACGGATAAACTAGCATAACACGTCTGGGGAATGAAGGTGGCTTTCACCTGAAGGCTGACAGAAGTCCGTGTACCACAGCCCCATCTCCCATCCTTTGGGTGGGTGACTGTAGAAGCCACCTGAACACGACTCACAGGTCCTGGTGGAGTGCAGACCCTTGGCTGTGGCAGCAACTTGAATAATCCATCCCTTTATTAACTTTTCTTCCTTGCTTGCACTCTCTGCTCTCTCAATCCTGCTTCCTGGCATCACCTCCCAAACAAACTTCCTGCAGCAAAATCCTCATCTCAAACTCTGCTTCCAGAGAAACCCCGAGGCCAGGACACCTATTACTAGCTAGAATTAACTTAATCTCTCTGTGACTCCACTTCCTTCTCAGTAGAAGAAGGTAAGAAGACCCATTTCATAAGGTTGTTGGCAGAATAACATGAGGTAACACATATGAATCGCCAGACATGCGGCACTGACCAGTAGCTGACAGCTAATGTTAATACCTGCACTATTTAAAACAGCAGATTCTTAAAAAGGAAATGATATGAATGAAACATTACCAGGAACCAGACACTTCAGAGCTAGTCACCTCTCAGTGCCCTTAATAAATCTGCAGGGAATTCAGAGTGCTCTCCCAAGAGTAGAAAGAAGAGGACTGAAGAGGATGGCTTTTTCTTTGTCTCCCTTCAGCCGGCAGCCTACCTGTTCCAGCCCCACGTGCAGGGAATAGACACCCCAGAAGCAGATTAGGGATGCTTCAAACACTTCACACAAAGGCCAACTAGCCTTTTAAAAGACAATTACCGAATAAGCAGCTCCAAAACAAAGA